GTGTTATACACAAACAATGAATCATGGAACACTACATCAAAAACTAAAGATGTAATGTATGGTGATTAACATAACAATAAAAATTAAAAAAAAAAAAGAAGCACTTAAGGAACATAGCTGGGTCCACAAGGAGATGTATAGGAAGATAGAAAGCTAGAGATGTAGTTCAGAATCAGATAATGTTCAGCCTTCTGGACTGGATTCAAGATTTTTAGTCTTATCTTAAGTGTAGTGGGGATACTTGAGAAGTTTAATATAGACTTTTCGTTTGCATTAAAACCATAGACTCTGCTCTTTCCCTATGGGAGTCAGGGAGTATGATCCAGACATTTCCCTCTCTTTTGAGTCCACCACCAAACACCCCTTCCATGTTTCAATTTCCTTTACCTAGGGTTTACTAAGCTCTAGAAGTGGGAAGAAAATGGGATGCATTAGTTATCCAAAGAACTGGAGAAGGCAGAAGAGACTACCTTTTTCCCAATTCAGCAGAAGGGATGACTAAATGCCCATTGTTGTTCTATGACCAACTTTTTCCCCCTCCAGTGTTCAGATTTTAGGAATGAAGACTTTAATGGCAAAATTTATTATGCATAAGAATTTTCAGTAGATTAATAGTGGTCCACAGACTCTTGTGTTTTCCAAATAAGTACTCTAGAGAAATAAAGGTCTAAAAGGAGAGTTCTTTCACTTGACAAAGAAACAAGAAGAATTATGTGTAACCTGACTAAAGGAAGAGTAACAACAATTGAGTTGCCTTCCATGTGACAGGCATAATGATGGAGCCTGCACAGATACACAGTGTCTGGCACATATGGGCACTCAATAAGTGTTGTATTGCTTAGATACAATTGTTCAATGTATCTATATGTGTTGACTATATGAATAATTTATGTTTTACTATATGAATAAATTATGGTTCATTGAAACAGTCCTTTGGTTTTCAAGTAGTACAAAATTTTGTCCACATTTTCCAATCAAATGTATTTAGAAAGATAAACCGAAAATAAATCTAATCTGAGGCCAAATATATAACTCATAGACATTTTTTTATAGCAAGGCTACTGCAGTGGCACTCATAAAAGACCAGCATTTATATGCAGTATCTTCTCTTTTGATAAACTGTGTGTTGAACTAGACTATTTCAAAGCAACTGCCCTATTGAATTACAGATACAGAAAGGATTACACTCATTTTAGCATGGAGAATCAGATTTCCATTCCTTAAGAATGACTAAAAACCTCAATTTTTTTCTATCCACAGATGGTACTAATTTGAACACATCATTCCATGCTTCCTGGAGTAATCACACAGCTTGCTTAGATTTTCTAAACATGACTGAACTGTGATGAAGCGATCAACATTCACTGGCAAGGTATTCCGTAAATTACATTTTTATTCATAAATTATTCTTATCTGTGGAGTACTTTCATCATGGTTGAAAGGAAAGTCTGTAGAACTATATAAGTGATATTTCTTGTCGGTTTAAATGCATGTCAGTTTTTAGTGACTATTTAGTAGGTTCCACTTAGGAGATGAAAATGTGTATCAAGTGTAATTATTCTCTGAACTTCTGAATATCAGTTATTAGAAGTTGCCAACCTCCCATGATAAGATTCTTACAGTGGTTTGTACTGACTTCTCACTGACCTGATTAAGTATACTAACACA